CTGAACAGAGATTGCTGCTCTCTATTACAAGAGAAAACAATTTTGAGTCTGAATTCTGACACGCTAGAAGGGCTAAGACCCTTGATAGTTGGTATCAACCTTGACAAGTTGATAAAAATCTTGAGCTTGCCATCAAAACCCCAGAATGCCCATCTATTAATAAAGACTATGCTGAGGACTAGGGATTTGTGGACAAAACTTTTAACATAATGTAAAATCAAGCCTCCATAAAATCAAGGTGATTAATCAAAAATTTAAATTAGAACAGAGCTTAGTAGCACTATTTAAGAGTATAATAACAAAATGAGTCTCCATATCAGTGACCTCAATATAACAAAATATTAGGAAGTATCTGAAAAAACAAGAAATTATGATGTATTGGCTAATGGCTAATGATGTTGAACATTTTTTCTTGTGCTTATTTACTATTCTTATATCCTATTTGATGAAGCATCTCTTTATGTCTTTTGCCCATTTTTTAATTGGACTGTTTTCTTGTGGTTACATTTTGAGTATTCTTTATATGTTCTGGGTAAAGTTCTTTGTCAGCTATGTGATTTGCAAATATTTTCTCCCGGTCTGTAGCTTGTTCTTTCATTCACTTAACTGTGTCTTTGGTAGAGCAAAAGTTTTTAATTTTGATGAAATCCAATTGATCAGTTTTTTATTATATAGAATATATTTCTGATACCATGTCTAAGAATCCATCACTAAAGTCAAGGACACATAGATTTTCTCCTTTTTTTTTCTAGAAGTTTTATAGTTTTATAATTTACATTTATATCTGTGATACATTTTGGGTTAATATTTGTATGAAGTGTGAGTTTTAGGTCGAGGTTCATTTTTTGCATATAGATGTCCAGTTGCTCCTAACACCATTTGTTAGAGACTGTTCTTTCTCCATTGAATTGTTTCTGTGCCATTGTCAAAAATCATTTGGCCATATTTGTGTAGGTCTACTTCTGGACTGATCTGTGTCTCTCCCTTCCCTTTGCCTGTCCATATAAATGTTAGAATGAGCTTGCTGACATTTTGTGAGCTTGTGAGATTTTGATTGGGATTGTTTGAGATGGTGTCGATGTTTTGGAGTTTATTCCATTTTGGATTTGCTCAAGTTTCTTGAATCTGTAGATTTCTATCACCAAACTTGGGTTTTTTCAGCCATTATTTCTTCAAATATTTTATCAATACTATGTACTTTATCCTCTCTTTCTGAAACTCTGAAAACATAAATGTTAGACATTACTTATTGTCCCATAGGTTCCTGAACTATGTTTATTATTTTTTTTCAGTCTGTTTTCTGTTACTCAGAGTGGATACTTTTTATTCAGTTGAGTCCATTCTATGTTTTAAAAATTTTGGTGACTGTTCTAAAATTTCAATTTGGTTCTTTTTATATATGCTGTTTTTTATTTTAACATTTGTTACAAGATTATTTATGATTGCTTGTTTGAGCATTTTTCTATTGCTGTTTGAGCATTTTATATAGAATTTTTTTTTTTTTTTTTTTTGAGACAGAGTCTCGCTTTCTTGCCTAGGCTAGAGTGAGTGCCATGGTGTCAGCCTAGCTCACAGCAACCTCAAACTCCTGGGCTCAAGCGATCCTCCTGCCCCAGCCTCCTGAGTAGCTGGGACTACAGGCACGAGCCACCATGCCCAGCTGATTTTTTATTATATATATTAGTTGGACAATTAATTTCTTTCTATTTTTTATGGTAGAGACGGGGTCTCGCTCAGGCTGGTTTTGAACTCCTGACCTTGAGCAATCCGCCCGCTTCGGCCTCCCAGAGTGCTAGGATTACAGGCGTGAGCCACTGCGCCCGGCCTATATAGAATTTTTATATTGCTTGTTTGAGCATTTTAAATAGCTGCTTTAAGGGCTTTGTTAGGTAATTCCAACATGACATTTTCTTAGCTTTGTCATGTGTTGATTGTTTTTCTTCTGGAAGTTGAAACTTTTTGTGGTATTTTGTTAATTTTGGATTGTAGCTTGGATACCTTGAATATTATTTTATGAGATTCTGGGTCTTGTTTAAATTCTATGGAGAATCTCAATCTTTTTGTTTTAGCAGGTAACCAGTCAGCTAGATTCAGCATACAGTTACCAGTCTGCCTTCTGTGGGTTGTGGTTCCAATGTCAGCTTAGTTTTCAAAGACAGCAGTTCTCTTTGGATCTATCTCAAGTTTGTGCTACCCAGTCTGGGACTTAGGAAAGTAATCTGTTGGATTGTTTTGTTCTCAAGGTTATCATGGCTAAGTAGGATCAGGTCCAAGCATTAGCGATTTGAGGATGACCCTTGGGGTTCATAAATAACATTATGAGGGTGCTTTCCTAGGCTCCTCCCTCTCCATGATCTCCCTGCTACTTCCTGGTTCCTTGAGTTCCCTTTTTTGGTTAGTCCTCTGGCTGGTTCTGGTTACTCTACTCTGTTGCTGTCTTTCATATCTTCATGATTGGGCCTGCATCCTGACCCATGGCAGGTGGGAGAGGGAACAGAGAGAAAAAATCAAGGGGGGTTTGCTCTATCCTTTTGAAACTATAGCTATTCTGAACAGAAAAATTCCTTTCTCTCAAAGTTGTAGATCCTCTGGGTTTTTATAGTTGCTGCTTGCCACTACAGGATTGCCTGGGGGAAGTTTTTAGATGCCAATGGGAATATTGCTCCAACTGATATAACTACAAATGTAGTAACTTTGCCTTCTTTGAAGTCTGTAGAAACCAATATGACTTGTGTACAAATTATTGCTCATGGGGAAGTAGTCTGATGCACATACAGGACAGATAACCCTTACAAAGTTGACAACATTACGCTCTAATTCATTGCCTAGGATGGGAAGACAGTGATGGCTAACCAGACAGACCTTATTTTATTTATAATTTTGGAAGTGATTATGACATTTTCAAAAGCCCAAGACGAATGGTAGTTCTAAATGCTTTCAAACTGTACCTGAACTTATATGTGAATCTGAATTTGTTTACTTATAAAATGTCATGTTTTCAAAATACTATCTCGTGCCTACATTCAGGAAATACTTTCTGGAATGCTTTTGTTTTTGTATTGTTTTATTTTTAATCCTTTAGTTTTAGCAGTGGCTCTCACAAGAAGAGTACAATTCACTTTAATGATTCATAGAGAACCATTTTTCAAAGAGGAGTTAAACTTTATATTAACATAATTCATCCATTTTTTTATAAATTTTAATTGCCCACGGTGTGCCAGACTCTATGAATGTATTATCTTGCTGTTAACGTTAGTACTCTTGGTTATGGGAATTTAGCAGATAAAAGTTGAATTGTACATTTAAATGTTGGCAGTATGTGCTATGCCTGAACTTTGTGGTAGATTTTTTTTTTTAAAGCCTGGAAGTGGAGCTAGATTATCTGATGGTGTTTGAATGAACTAGAATCCCATTAAAGTGCTTATTTTCTTTTTCTTTCTTTTTTTTTTACACAATGAAAGACAGTAAATTGCTGTCATTCTATCAACAACATCAGCTGCACCTGTTCACTCCGCCCTGCCTTTGCTGTTTCTGTGGTCTAGACTAATGAAAAGTTTGCTTATTGCCATATTGAAAGTAAAGAGATTGAATAAGGAGGGAAAGAAAAGCTTTATGAGTTTCCAAAGTTGTTCAGAGGAATTTTTAATTTATAAGCATTAGGGAGCCACTCAAGATTCCTGAGCTAGAAGGCTGAATGTGGAAACTGGGAAGCTGACTTATATTGTCAGTGTAACACAGGATGGCTTCTAGGGGGAAGGAAGCAAAAACCCTAAATAAGAAAGATTGGTTAGTGCAGTATGGTAACTTGCCTAAACACGTGTAAACAGAAGAGCTCCTCTAAAGGAGTGTTGATAGCCCACTGTAGAATTAAGCCAGAGGCTAATTCCAGAGAATACTGGAAAGGCAGGGAGTCTAGCTCTAGTAAGTCAAAGTGCAGTATGCAGATGGGCCAGGGCATGGTAATCAGGAAGCCATGGTAGGACAGATGTTTTAAAAGGGCCTGAGCAAAAATTGTATTCAGCAGAAATTCCTTGTACTCCCTGCCAAAACCAGAATTGTTTATGTGTATGTGTGGGCAGGGAGGGCTGAAATAGAGATGGCCAGAGCTGGGCAGGGAAAGTGGTTCTGCTCCTAGTCATCAGTGAAGTCCTGGAATAGGGCAGTGGAAATCAAGAAAAGGTGGATTTAAAGATTTCAAAGGAAGGAAGAGAACTTTGGGATAAGGGATTCAGGAAATGGAGGTGGCAAAGGCAATGTTGAGATTTCTAAGAATTCTGTAAGGAATTTTGACAGACATTGGTAGTTGAGAAGAGACTTGAGTGGGAAAGATAAATTTACTTTTTCTCTATTTAGAATCTGAGATGCTGAGAGTTCTGCCATGGATGTGACAAGAAGTAAGCCACTGATGGCCTCTGAACTTCTACAAAATAGGGAGGAGTGAAGGTATACTACTAGGAACTGTAAAAATGGTTAGACCAAATATGAGGAATCCGACAGCAGACACTGAGGTTTGGCAGAGGTTGATGGTATAGAGGCTGCTTTAGTAACAGTAACTTTGGGAAGGTGGGATGAATGGGGCCTGAGGTTTTGTGGAAATTACTTTAAAAAGGAATTGCTTCTGATGAGAAGGAAACATTGGAAAGGATAATGGAGGCTCATGTCAAATGCTTTGGTCTTCATTTCATATAAGATGAGATCATCCATAGAGAATGAGGTAAGAGAAGAACAATTTGGGGTTAATGAACATACCAGGAAATAAATACTTTGAGATGTGTTTCTGAGGTACAACAATGAGTGAGAGCCACAGTGAGGCTCTTCATAATGAAAAGGCACTTCCAACCTCCTACCATCTCTTCTCTCCTAATAAGTTCTCCTATTTCCTGGCTCTGAGAATCATTCTTTCCCCATCAGTTCTTAAGTCCTCTAGAATCTATTCCAATAACTGCTAGGTCCGGAGTGTTCTTTTCAGTTCATCAAAATGATAGACACACTTCAAGTAAAGATTTTTAAACAGAAATTTTATTTGAAAGAATTTTGATACAGTTCATGATTCTTTTAAATACATGAAAGGTTAAACAAAATATATACATGAATGTGTTCAAGTAGAAAAAGTGAAATATACAGTATGGACTTGTTGTATTGCACATAAGCAAATCATAATTGCTCACTGCAGCATATTCAAACCAAATTACAACATAGTCTTTGAGATTTGAGATTACAACCTAGCCTTGTAACCAAAACATTTTTGGAAACGTTCTGATGCCATAATCTTCACCGAAGGAATGAGACCCAAATAACTTGGCCATATGTTTAAAAACTACTAAAAGCAGGGAGGTAATTGGTGTAGAGGTGTTTAGAATATACTATGAAGGGATTTGCCAATTTTTCATTCACAATATTTCCAATATAAAAGAGACTCATTCTTTTTTATCAAACTCACAAAAGATGGGGGAAAATATTACTTAGGAAAAAAATCACTGAGGAAGCAATGAAATTACTTGATGTACTGTTGACAGGATATGTCTAGTTCAAAATAGGATCTTCATTGAGGCTAACTGATGCACAATATGTGAGACATAAAATTCAAATACTAAAATTCAAAATAAATCTTTTTTCCCACTAGTATCAAGTGGAAATTCTACAGTGAAAACAACAATGAAAAGAGATGAAAAATAAGTGAAAAAAATAAAGGGAGGCTCTACTAAAATTTAGTATTTGGAGGGGAAAAAAGGTAGAAAGTATTGTGGGAATATTTAAATCACTTAATGAATGCATACATATAGTGTTGTTTTTATACAAGCACCTTCAAGAAATACCTCTGGAAGAGTTTCAGATGATAATACATCTGGGATAAATGAAATAGAAGATACATTATAGTCCTTAAAACATGAATATGGCAAATTTCCATAATAACAAAGGAGACTGTGGGTCCTGGTTTGGTCATACAAAATATAAAAATTCAAGTGGTCCAGGTTGCACAGTCCCAGTTCTGCCTAATTCCTGTCCAACAATATACAAAATGAATAACATCTGTTTACTTCCACTGTTTGTGTATTAAAAAGAATGAGCAGCTCACAGGACTACTTGAAAATAAAATGGCCAAGGTGATTATAAAGTCACTTATTTGTGCAGAAATACCAAAGAAACGCTGAGATGTCTTCTATAATAAACAGTAAATTACTGGTTTTACCTGTTTCTAACCCTTATTTGTGAGTCCACTACTATCTATAATACTCACTAGTTAGCCAAACATTTATTGAGCAGGTAAGTGTAAGCCCATGCTAAGTTTGGGAATAAAAGGATATATAAGACAAAGACATTCTCTTTTACAAGTTTTCCAACATCATGATCATAATTACAAATAAGTTTTAAAAGCTGTTATAACAGTTCAGTTAAAGTTTAAGCATAGATTACTACTATTAATGAAATAGATTTCCTTTTGAAAAGATACATATAAAATGTAATGTAAATCAAATCCTACTTATCCTTCTCCTGCAGTGCAAAATTGTTTATACTTCTTGGGAGATAATTCCCTAATAAACTAAGTTAAAGTCTTCTGGGCAGTTAGTTTCTCTCCTCATATTGGCACAAAGGGTGCTATCTTTTGAGTCAATCCCTTAAGCAGTTCACTCAAAGAGTATCAATAAAACTTTTAACATCTTTTTTTTAATGGTCTTAAAGGTACCTAAAGGAGTCCTGATTCCTCTTTTTAGCCTGCACAGTTTAAGATGAATAGCAAAGATAGGAAATAAGCATAAGAGAGAATAGAAAAAAGGAATGAGTCTAAATAATGTATAGTGACTGTTCCCCCATATCAGTTTTGTCATGGTGATTGTTCACTAATTTTATAGGAGAGTCTGTTTAGATCTGCGACAACTTCTTGGATCTTTAAAATATTGCTGAATGACATATGTAAAATAGAGTAAGCTGTCAGCACTGGATTAGAGAGTGCTCTGCCACTGCCTATTCCCTATGCAAGTCATTTAAACAGCTTCCTTCTGTAAAATGGGGTAAGAATTCCTTTCCCACAGGGATGTTGATGAGAATTAGAAGAGAAAATAAATTTGAAGAAGCTGTGTTAATCATAAAGTCACACAAAATTCTTTATAGAAATTTGAGGATTAAATATGATAACATGAATAAGGCTACACAAAGTACCTGGCACATAAATCATTAATAAAGGTTATTCTCCCCACACGACCCCCTTATAATTTAGTTAGGAAATGGTCAAATATAAACCAAAGATGCCCTCATCAGAAAGACTCACATACATTTGGACTTTAAATAGAACTATAATTCTCTGTTCCTTTTCTCCAAATATTTTTCTGATACATAATTTTTCACTGTATTTGAGTCTGTGGTTGAGATCTGGACCACTAAGCTTCTGGGAGATCACATCTTGAAATAATCCTTCCACTGATAAAACTTTTAATGTATGTTCTTTAGAGAATAATTTCCTTTTCTACCAAAGTTCTTGTGAATTGGAAAATAATTTTGTTTTGAACATGGTGACGAAAAGAAAAAAAAAAGTTTAATTTTCCCAAGGTAATGCTTTTATGAAGCGCTGGAAGTTGCAGTTTAACATTTTGGGTTCTGCTTAAGACTTCAAAATTTTACCTTACTGAATTAAAAGATTTCTTCTATACAATGTTTAATGTTCAATTTTGCATGGCTCTGAGAATCTTTAAAATGCAAAACTCTCCAGTGGCTGGAAACCAAGGTGGCAAAACTGAAATGATATGACCTTGTGAATTAACTTTGTTTCTAAAAAGTACCAATTCACAGAATATAAACAAAATAAAAACTAAGCAATCCTTAAATTGCTAGATTTAGCCTTGGGCAATTAACAGAAAAATCCACTCAGAAGTTAAAAGGATCTATTGTATAGGTGTCATTTTTTTAAAGTCAGGAACTGGTTTTTAATAGTAAAAAAGTAAAAAGTAAAAAAATTAATTATAAAATCTTCCATAAAGAATACTATGGAAATATTCCAAACTTCATAATTATAAATGAAAAATGAGACAATAAAGCCCCATTTATAAAGTGCCTTAATGTACCAAAAATGGAGGTCAAATAGCCTTTATTTACAAATGATATTTAATCACATTTACAGAAAGGCAAATATTACACTGGAGAGGCAGAATAATAGAGTATAAAGAATTGTGGACTTAGAAGATCTGAATTCTAGTCTTGGCTTTTCAGTCTGAATTCCAGTCTTGGCTAATTATTTCTGTGACCTTGAGTAAATAACAGCTTTTCTGGGCTCCAGTTTTCTCATCTGTAAAATGAGAGGTAGACCAGACTGTTTTCTAAGGACAGTTCCCGCTTAGATGTAAAATTCTATGTTAAGCAATGTAGAATACTACAAGAGCAATAGTTCTTAAATTCCAGCATTATTTAACAAGGTGCTGCCATAGTAATAATCTCCAACTGCATTTTGAGTTAATGATTTGGCTGCTTTACAAAGGTGCACAAAATCACAGTATTTTGGTTACTGATATATATATATATATATATAGGCTTTCAAGAATGCTCAAACATTCTGGATACAATGGAAGTCACAATGCCAGTGAATGACATCTGTTACTGACTGGTAGGGATGACAGCATGAGGAACACTGACCTACAGGTACACTAGATACTGTCCTTCACAAAGATACACAGGGAGTTAGCAAAATGAGGAAGTTGTACTTGTTAAGCCCTTCATCTTGAATAATCTAGATTAAAAAAAACAAAATAAATATAGTATTTCTGTTTGGGAAAGTTTACCAAACAAGGTAAACTTTCCCTGGGCAATACAAATTTGTTCTCCAGAGAATATTTTGGTTTTTAAAATATTGGCAAAGTTATGCTCAGATATAGACTGTTTTTGGCTTTTTTTTTGGGGGGGGGCATTCTAATTGTATATTTGATACATTCTATTTTATAACAATAATCAGGTAGTACTTCTCTGTGAAATTATCTACTTTAGTAATACGTATGTGCCAAGAACACTAATAAGACCAAGTATTTCCTAAGAATGAGAAAAAAGCTGTTTTTTCTTACATTAATTTTTTACTTTTGCACACATAAATATACTGACATTTAAAGAATGAATGTTAATTCCAACCATGAGCTGGCCATCTCTTGTAACAAATGCAAAATTAGAGTTTCATATCAGCCTAACGCTCTATATACTCTATGCATTATCAAAGGAAGAAAAACATAAGCATGCATTTGTGTACTCAGAGTAGTTAAATAAATATATATTTTAAAGAAACCACTTAGAATTTTGGGCCCAGGGAAAGGCAGAACTGGATCTTCAAAACGCACTGGTAAATTTATAGACCGGTGTAATTATCTCCATATGTGAAATATCAGTATAGTTATAATTAGTTTTTAAAGGCACACATCCAAAATTTCTGCCTTCATCTGGATCTGTCATTTTCTATAATATGCCAAACCCACAGAATATCCAAAAGTTTTAACAGACTTGGTAGTGGCTTCAAAATTCTAAATGACTACTTATATTTGTAATGAAAAAGCAATACCATAATCAGAACATTTCCTTTTGTACTTTCCCTCTTAGAAGACCTCAACAATTGTTTTAGTCAACACATTCTATTGCAGGAATTCTTAGTTTTCAAACTGCCTGGCAGTAAGCAAACGTCTTTTGAAAACACTACTTTATCTGCAAAATAGAGACTTACTGATAGTTCATGGCAATCTCAAGCACTTTATGATAGAATGAAGAAAGTGGTCTACTTTTCTTAATACAGAATAATTCATAAATTGTAAAAAAATACTCCAAAACTTGGACAAAATCAACGATTTCTGCCACCTCACTGAAAAAGACTTATTATTGCTATATACTCTTAACAATCATTACTATCCTGCAGTGTTTTCCCCCCAATACTTTCAGTTTTTTAAAGTGAAAAGAAAATATATGTTGTGATAAAATGAAATAAAATGGAAAAATGTATATACAGATATCTCTTTATAAAGCAGACCATACTTAGAGTATTCAAGCACTTGTCATCTCCAATGGAAATTTTATTTTTAAAATACACAAGGACCTAAAAAAATCAACTTATTTACTTCTCAGACACCTGTGTTAGGAAGAGTTCCACACAACCACATTTGCTCTGTATGCTTTAATAGTTCAAACTCAGTAAAATGCTTCTTTAGGATTCCTGAAAGCAACTGTATGTGTATAAAGCTTAAAAAGGAAAACAAACTGTCTGACTTGGCATTTGAAGAATGGAAAAGCAAAATAACACTGTCACAACCATTTCTGCTTTCAGTCTACATTGCCTTTTCCTTTCATTATAAAATCCATAAAAATGGTAAGGAAAAATACAGGAAAGTTTATCATAGACACAGTAGCTTTTATAGAAATTTGGAATTTAGCACATGTTTTAAGTTAAAACAGTTTTCTGTATAACAGATGCATATGCAAAGTTATAAAAACACAGGCCACAAAGTAATTGAATGTAGTAATTGACTTTGTTTTAAAAAGCAAATTAATACCTTTTATTTTTTGATGAGATAAAACAATAAAAGGAAAATTTTCATATATCTAAACCTATGCTAGAAGGACACAAAAAGACAATATACATTACTAGCAAAAGTCTTATTTTGTACAGATTACACACTATCCATTTAAAAAATAATATACATGAGCTTTGATGGTACATTTCTATGCTGGCAAATACATTTTCTGATACAAAGGCACTTTGAAAACCCAATATGGTTTGGTTCTTAAGTTTGCAAGGTACAAACAATTTTATAAACATATGATTATACTGAAGAACGTCAACAACTGTGACATTACATATAAAACAGATTTCCATTTCTTTCTTTTTTTCTTTTTTTTAAATAACACTGGTTTCATGGGAATGAAAGCATTGGTTTCCAGAAGCTTCAGTGAAGACATTTCAGATGATTGGAGGCCCACAATCTGAATTTCTTACTGGCTGGGATGAGGGGGTGGGGTGAGGAAATTCAGCATGAAAACAAACAAAAAACAAAAACACAAAATAGAAAGGACAAACCAACACCCTGGAACAAAAAACTGAAACCTCTGTAATGGTTTGGAGGGAAGAGCACAAAAGAAAAGATCAAAAGTCCCGGAGATGTCCTCTTAATTCTGATCCCTTAGCTGTGAACTCCCCGCAGAGCACAAACGTTTAGCTGACTCTACCTGGTCTACTTGGTGCTGGGGAGTTGTAGTGATAATTTCTCTATTTTAAAAAGCTGGGTACAATGTTTTGGATTGTACAGTACCAGAAAAATTTGGTCCAAAAGAAAGCATAATTTCTTTTCCTTTATTACATGGCTGCAAAGTCAATCTGTACATAAAGCTGTCTCACTCCGGCCTGAAAAGTGAAAAAAAAAAAAAAAAATTAGAAAATTAAACAAGCCAATAACAGACTACACATTTCAGGAAAGTAGGAAAAAAATCTCATTTTTTGAAAAAGCAAAGAATTATTTTTCTCTTCTGCCTCTGGGAACTAATTCTTCATTTTTTTTTTCATAAAGCACCAGAAAATTATTTCAGAAACAAATGTACTCATAAGTTACGAAAAAAGAGTCATCATTTACCACTCCAAAAAACAAACAAACAAACAAAAGCCATGCTACCAGTCACATGCCCTGACCAAGTGATATTTAGAAAAATGAGGTTATGCACCTGCCATTGCTCTGTTAGAGGACACCATGGGGCTTGACTGATTGGCTACTAATTAAAATCAATAAATCACCCTGGTCTAATTCCTCCCATGACAAATGATTAGTAAACACCTTAATAAGTATAGCCATCTATTGGTTATTTAATTATGTCGTATTCCAACTCCTCTCTTTAATTTTGGATATGAACTTGCTACTCAAGGATACTGCTGTCTAAATTGTCACTAGTCTCTTCCATGTTATCAATTATCCCCCTCACCTGGATCACTTCTATCAGCATTAAAAACAACATTGTAATTTCTTCCATTTAAAAAAATCCTTTACTTAACCCTACACATCCCCTTCTGGGCTACAGTCCAAATCTCTGGTCTTCTTTGTAGCAAAAAACCTCAAAAGAGTTGTCCATATTTGCTGTCTACCAATTCCTTTTCTCTCTTCTCCTTCAAATTCATTTCAAGCAAACTCGTGCCTCCCACCAATTCCCCAAAAACTGTCTGTTAAGGTAACCTCCAGGCTGCTCCCACCAGTGCTCAATTCTCAGGCCTCATCTTACTACTTAACCTATCAAGCAGTAGCACAGATGATCACTCCCTCCTAATAAACACCTTTTCCCCTTTTGGCTTCCAGAGAGTATTCACTGGTTGCCCTTTTATCTCACTTATCAATCTTTCTCAGTTTCCTTTGCTGGTGCCAAAGTCTACAGATAAAAAAAAAAAATGAAGCTTGGTACAAGAGCTGGTAAATGCTTCCCAATCTTCCTACCCACAACATCACCTTGTGATATATATTATAAACTTATTTATTCACTGTGTTTATTGTTGATTTCCCACTATATTATAATCTCTCCAAGGTGAAGGATGTGTCTTCTGTTTTTCATTGCTGACTCCCAGAATCTCAAGTAGTACCCAGCACATAGTAACTGATAAATAAATATTAGTTGACCAAACTGAAATTCTACTAATTTCTTTCAACCCCAAATGATTTATTTTACTAAAGCAAACCGTCAGTCACAATAAGCCCTTTCTTGTCAGTACCACAGAATGACTGGTAGATTGGAATATTTAGTAGAAAGGAAAAAACCAGAGTGAGGGATAAAAATCCATTAATAGTACCTTCTTACAGCAATATTTGAGCTCCTCAAAACACTGCTTTCTAGCATGGCCTTTTTCCTCGCATTCAGATAGGAAGGCTCTGCACAACACTAATGAATACTTGAAAGGAGTCAGGAACAACTCTAATAGATAAAAAGCTGGACAGATGCTAGAAGCTTGTCAGCAAAGAAAATATATTTTAATTTTGCCTCATTTAAAAAAAAAAGGCAGCTGGGTGCAGTGGCTTGCACCTGTAATCCCAGTTACTGGGGGAAAGAGGAGCCGAGGGGAGGATTGCTTGAGGCTAGGAGTTCCAGACCAGCCAGGTGCTTTTAGGGAGACTATCTTGTTTAAAAAAAAAAAAAAAAGCCTTCCCATGGTAAGTAAAAGCTCTCTCTTACTCAAATTTACAGAAAATACATTTAATAGCATCCTCTCCTAGGTTAAGAGGCTTGTGGCAGAAAAGAGACAAAACTTAATATCTGTATATCCTTGAGCTAAAAATTAAAACCAAATACCAGTTTTTCTCATTTTAAAAGTGCTGATAAATACCAACCCTACTAATCTCACAGAATTACATATTCATCTAATATTTGACAAATATTTAATAAATCCTTGCTACATACCAGGCACTGTTATAGAATGCTGCTGTAAACAAATTATAATTGATTACAATAATATTTGGTATACTCAATCTAGATGACCTTGAAATAATTAGGGAACTCTTTTGTAAGATTATTGTATAACTAACCTTAAGAGAAAACAACTATTGCCCAAATAAACTGTCTTAACTTCTTTTCTCTTTCAATAAAATTGTTAATGAAAGTAAAAAGGGCAAAATGAGTTGGGCTCCTTTTGTGTCTGCCATTTTCCTTAGCCCCAGCCCTAACACAGAGAGGATGGTAATAAAAAGTGAAGTAGCCCAAGGCAATAAAAAAGAAAGAGGAAAAACAAAGAGGCTAGGTAAATTATCTTTGCATAATCACGAGTTAATTACTCAAGCTGATATTCTTCCCCTGAGGGGGCTACAGCTTGCCACAAAAGCTCAGTCTAACAGCAAAAAAACATCATTTTGCTTCATCCATCTGTCCCAATAGGCAAAGCTTCAAGTTTTCCAGCTTCCCATTTTCCTCTTTCAATTCCCTTCAAAATGGACAGAAAAGCAGTATTTCCAAAGAATTTTATAGTGAGTCACCAACTCCTAAATGCATACTAGATTTTCTATAGTTTAGTCACATTACAAAGACGTGGCAGATACTCCAGCAGATAAATACAGTAGTGCTCAGGTTCATCAAATATTCTACCACTGGAATGATACTAGGAGCCTGAGGCTGACTGAGAGGTCCATAAAATGTGAAAACCATATAATACTAATTGTGTATGCTGAGAATAATGTACAAACTATACTTCAGTCAACACTTTTTACAATGGGAAAGACAGCTAGTTATTTTAAATACTTATTTGCTCCTAAGAAAATAAATGTTAATCTGGTGCCACAGGCTTAGAATATCTTCAACAAATATTCACTGTTGTGGAAAGGAGAACAAATCAGAAGTATAAATTTAGAAAAATAAACAAGAATATGACTGTAGAAGATTATTTGGTTTGCTTGTGTTCTCTACCAATCAAAAACTACAGAAATTTCCTACTTTAGTTTCTGACTGAACATATACTAATCTTTACCCTTTTAAAATGAAGTCTTGACAAACTGTCTTACTCTTCCATGTGAAACCTAAATCACTTCAGAGTTAGCGAAATAGTGAGTAAATGTGACTAAATTACAAGTGGAGACCAGTAACTTGGGTCTGGGTTTCCTTCTCTATAAATCGTCTTGTGAGGATTGATTAACATGTTAGGTACTATCACAGTGCTTGGCACATGGTGGGCTCAATAAATGCTGCTGTTATTATTTCCACAACTATCAACCACCCAATGAACACTTAAACCATGTGGAGCAATTAAAAACAACAATCCTAGGGGTTTGCTGGCCACACTTCTAGTGACTGTTCACGTCAACCTCCTAAGGAGGTTGGATTCTGGTGGACTTCAAGTACATAAAATGCAGAAAGATAATGGAAAGATGGATAAGGAAAGAGTGCAGGGTGAACAAGTAGAATCAATACTTATGAAAGATTAAAGCTCTCTACAGAAAAGGAAAATAAATAAAAATGGTAGAAAAAATAGCAATCCACCTGAAAAGGGGTAGATACCTTCTCCCACTCCTACCCTCACCCTTAAGCAGACACAACAAGGTTGGATGAGAGACAGGAAGGGATTATGACTGGGAGTCAGAAGAGTGACGGAGGTGGAGGATTTCTGAAACTTGGGGCACTCCCATTTGGGCTTTTGAGGAGGCTTTTTGGTTCCTTCCTGGGTATCAGTGTTAACTTCTATTTTGAGGCCAGAGAACAGAGCACAAAAAGCTGAAGCAGGAAGTTGGAGGCTTAGGACTTAATAGGCATAAGGGAAAAAGGCAGAAGAATAGGAGAGATGAAAAAGAAAAGGGCAGAAGTTCTGTTAGGGAGTAAATATGTATTAGGCTTGACTGTCTTTTGTGCTTTGTGGAACTAAGGAGGTGAATGAACTCCAAGCATATTTTAGATTTTTCTTTAATGTGTTTTCTTCAGACAACATTATTTCTAACAAAACAAAATATGTTAAAATTTTTAGGATTATAGTTATAATTATGAAATGTGTTATTAAAAATAATTAGCAGATAATATTGGCCATTTTAAAATAAAAACAATATATATAAAATGTTAAATTGCCTTCCTAATCTAGCATCCCACTTTCTCTTCCTGTTCATAAGAAACAAAAGATAAATTTTCCATTTTATCAATCTGCAAACGATAACTCATTTTTTAAAAAATTAGTGCAAGGGGAAAAGGGGAGATAGGACTTGTTCTATGCCAATAGAAAACCTTGTAGCTTAAAAACCGGATTATCCCTTTATCCCAGAAGAATCTCCAAACTAGTGAGTTGCAGCAATTCACTTATGTTACTCTATGCATAACACAAGCCACTTTCTTTAGCAGTTAAAGATTAATTGGTAACTCTGGAAAATGAGATTTAAAAGGATAATGCCTAATATACAGTTTTACAATAGTCACAAAGCTATAGTTTTACAAACACAACAGAAAGTTATAATTCTCAAACTTTTGAAGTTGGTCTTTTCAATTTAAAGTTATCCTCATAGAAGCTTTAGCAAGAGCAATTTTAACCAAAAATTATTATGTAAATTCTAATTAAGATCAGCTATAGGAAAGATAGCTAAAAATGTAATGTAAAGCAAAAGGGATAACTTATTATTCAAAAAAATCTTTCTTTTGGTCTTTTGGAACTAAGGTCACCAGTATTTTTAATCTTTCTGCAAGAAATATACCTAAAGCATTAGTGTGATTTTTTTCCCTCAAAAACAGAGCAATTTAAGTTCTTTTATTTGTGATAAGTAGAAACTATAAACAAGATATAATTTTAAATTTAAAAAATAATTAAATTTTAAATTTCATTTCATTGCATGAAAATGCTCCTGCAAGGCCTGGCATATACTCATAGCATAAGGACATGGATATAAGCAGAAAAGTAAATAAATTAATAAAAAATTTCAATTTTGCATATGTCAGAATAATAAAACAGTGGTTATAAAAGAACTGTAAATCATTAAATGTAGGAATGAAAGTCATTATTAGTAGGGTGATTCCCGCCACCTTGGGAAAAATGTGTTGAACCATCTTCACCGCAGCCTCAAAAAAATCTCTAGTCTCTGCAACAAATAAAATCAAATTGACTTGACTTTTGCTTGATAAAAAGGCTTAAAATATTTTTCAGGGTTTAAAATATTCAAAGCTCAAATGCAGTTTCCAAAACCAAAGAAGCAGCTGAATAAACTTTCAGCTTCAGCCATTTAAAAGCCAAAATTTCTAAGGTTACCAGAAGAACCTCCCTCCACCTACTTGAATGACAACTTCAGCAGTTCCTAAGCACAGCCACAGCCACTTGTACACTTCTAAACCTAGAAACTGCATTCCTTTTCAGAGGAAAAATTGTGACTAGGTGCCAAAGTCTTAGGAGAGTATGGGGTGTCCTAGAGGTCAACAGAAGCTTACACTATGAGCGTGGCAGGACAGGGCATAATTAAGAGAAAATTCAGAGGAAAAGAGAGAAAAAAGAACTAGAAATAGCAGTGACAAGAAAGGTTACTGCTAGCCTCCTCTTTTTGTCCTTGAAGTATGTAGGGGGTATGAGAAAGATTCAGACATGCTATGAAGGTCTTGCCTGCTTCATTACGAAAGTCATAATGATACTGACATAGAATGTCTGTTAAGAAAGAAACCTAGTTGTTAAAATTCTGGAATAAATAAGTGGTACCAGTATATTGTTTTGTGGTAAAGTCTTGAATACACATAAGTTTAGAATTAGAGTAAATCCTAATTACACATAAGATTAATTTATTCCCAAAGGGACTAACCACACATTTCTCTTTATTAGAGAAAAGAGATTCTGTATCTCATTAAGATCTTTTTGTGTTTTTGGTTAAAAACATCAGTGGGAACCCAATAATTTTTTTCCATACTCAGCATATGTAAATATGTTTTTGGTCAAATACAGTTTTAAGAATTTGTTTATCCAACAAATTCATTATACAAATATACTCTTCTAAGCATTGGGAATGCAAAATCATGATGTCTGGTAGGAACCTGCAAGCAAATATAGTGTGTACAAGGTGAAATGCATGTCACAGAATAACGTAATTCTGCTTTGAGGGACCTTTATGGCTTCAGAGAGAAAGTAACAATTGAATTAAACCTTTAAATTAGAGTTTTTGTCCCTCACGGAAAAGTGAACAGTCTGGTAGATTTGGTACACGAAAGTACACAGCAATGAAAAGTAGGAGAGAGACTTGACAAATCAATTGGATCATACTAGAAAGTTTAGGCTTTATCCTGGTGGCAATGAGGAGCTACTAAAGTTTTTCTTTTTTAACTTTTTTTTCCAAAAAATTTAAAGTTAAAAGAACAGTAAAAAAAAATACCTGTATATCCATCACATATATCCATTTCTTAACATTTTGCCATCTTTGCTTTAATCTCTCTAGATATATTAATATATTTATCTGTAATCTTTTTATTTTTGCCAAAACATTTGAAAATTAGATACCTCAACACTTTACCATTATTAAATCCTTCAGCATGTATCTCTTAAGGATAAGAACATTCTTCTATAACCACAATGCCATTATCACACCCAAGAAATATAACACCTATATAATTATATGAATAATTATTATACCATCTATATTCAAATTTTCTTGACTGCCCAATACTTTCCTTTGTGGCTGTTTTTTTCCCCTAGTCCAAGATCCAATCAAGGATCACACATTGCATTTAATTGTAAGGGCTCCTCTAATTTAGAATTATTCCCCACCTTTTCTTCCTTTCATGCCATTGATACTTTTTAAGAATTGAGGCTAAATGTGTAGAAGTTTCCACAGCTGGATTCATAGGGCTGTTCATGATTAGATTCAAGCTAAACCTTTTTGGCAGGAGTACCACACAGGTCACGCTGTACTATCACCTGTGCCATCACACCAGGAGGCACATAATCTCAGTTTTCAATCACAGATTTTTTTAAAGCATGGGACCAGTTTCTTCATTAGATTTATACATTAGATAACGTTGGCAGCAGTGTGGATGCCTAGGTTTTTGGCCAAATGTTTCTAGCAAACTAGACTCAAAAAAGAATTTGTGTTCTCTCTCTCTTCTTACTCTCCCAACATATACACAATACATCCCATACAATCACTCTTACTTTGATTATCAATCCCATGATTATGTTAACTCATCATGGCACAAACATCAACTGAAAGAATTTGGTTACAGATCATGCACTAATTCATGATTCTAAATACACTATTAAGAAAAAATCAATAGCATATTAAGCTATTAATTAAATCAGACAGAAGGTAAATCGTGGTTGTGCTATCACACAAAAAAATTAACATCTTCTTTTAGCTAAAACCAGTATACAAGATAGTATACTTATTCCAAATGCCATTTTGGAACTCTTGGCTTCAAATAGCACCTAACATGTCTTATAAGGAGTGTGTAGTAAAGGAAAATCTACTTTTTCTTGAAGGAACTCAAATCACTACAACAACAAGTCAATAGGAACTATCTTCCTTAAGAGTATTAACTACAATAAGGATCTCCTAAATTTGACTCTGCGATTGAAAAAAAAAGTACTTTTATGGTTACCTCATAGTTTAGTAGCATATGTATTTAATATGTTAGATAGTATTTTTAAAACTAGTAGATATAATACATTTTAAGGCCCTTAAAAGAAGTTAGTAAAAAAGTCATACCTGAGTAAAAATATTATGTGTTTGGCTTAAAATCCACCTGGCATCAGCGTCAGGTGCTACTACTAATTTCAAAGTCCCAACATAAACGTCAGAACATAAAGTCCAAAAGTGCTGTTCTTGTAAATTGTAAACTCCTTGTAACTGCTGCACCTGAAATACAAAGGGCAGATAAGAACATCATAATCAGGTTAAGTGCCCCCTCCCACTTAAATTACTATGCAACATATTAATGACAGTAAACATGGGTTCTATCCACTAGTTTAAAAAAGGGGAAGAGGATGTTTGAATTAAATGATAGAATGTACAATATCAAAAAACCAGTTCTTTGAAAACATTAATAAGCTAGAGGAATGTTTCTTAATGGGGTGTATTTTGGATAGGACAATTCTTTACTATGTATAAATATCCAAGAAACTATAGGACTATCCCTGGGGCCCAGGGAACTAAATGACAATGTATATACCCTTTCCCCAAATCATATGACAACCAAAAAAGAGGGAAGTCTCTCAGGTTTTCCAATGGCTCCCTAAGTTTCCACACCCTTAGGCTGACAACCACTCGTCATTAGGATGAAACCCAGTGTTCATAGAAACTTCTGATCAAAGTAAAAAAGATAAAAGAAAATGCAATTAAACAAAATACAAAATAAAAAAAGGAATAATTACAAACACAAAAGGTTTACCGTAAAAGGGAATACAACTATTATGGGAATGTATCAATATAGAAACATAGAAAAGATTATGATCAAGTAGAATCCAAATATTTCTCAATACCTATACTGCTATCAGCCTAGTCCAAACCAACAGTATCTCTAGTCTGGATTATTATATTGCTTCTTAACTGGTCTAATTCTAGCCTTGCACCTCTTCCATCTATTCTCAAAATAGTAGCCCAAGTGAGATCCTCTTAATTTAGGTTAGATGCTGCCACTCCTTTGTTCAAAATCTTCCAATGGCTTCCCATCTCACTCTGAGTTAAACCAATGTGTTTACAATAATTTACATGGACTCGTGCCTTGTGGCACCCTTGTTACCTTATTTACCTCATCTCCTCCTCCTCCTCTTCCACCCTCTTCATCAGAACCCCAGCCTCCTCACCATTCTTTCAAAAGCCAGATAAACTCCTATCACAGGGTACTTGCTAATCCCTATGCCTGGAATGTTCTTCTTCCTAGATTTCTACATGGTCCACTTTGGGTCTTTACTCAAATGTCCTTTTTTTAGTAACTCCTGTCTAAAATTACAATGTTTTCATTTCTGCATTTCTCTGCTTGGTTTTACTTTTTTAGCATAATAGTACTTTATCTAGCTATCATTTTGTTTTTATATTGTTTTTTTGCCTGTCTCCTCCAGCGGAACTTCAGCTCAATAAGATTAGGGATTTATTTTTGTTTTATTTTTATTTTGTTTTGTTTTTCACATTTTGTATCTTCAGCACCTAAAATAGCAGCACCTTCAGCCTGGTCCAAGTAAGTGTTCAGTAAGGATATATATTAAATGAATAAAAACACAAAAACCTAGACATCTAGGTTTGTGAAAACCTAGACAAAATGGATAAATTTCTGGAAAAACAGAAAATGCAGTATAAAAAACAAGAAAATAGGAAAGTGGGAGGACCATTTAAAACTGAAATGGTGGTCGGTGCCTTGGCTCATGACTATAATTCTAGCACTCTGGGAAGCTGAAGCAGGAGGATCGCTTGAGGTCAGGGGTTCGAGACCAGCCTGAACAAGAGTGAGACTTCCTTCACTTAAAAAAGAGAGAAAAAAGTGAAATGGTAACAAAGCTTCCTTTGATAAAAGCCCCAGACAGTAAACTTTCAAGGAATAGTTGAAACTAACTTCTTAGTTTTTCCTGAGAATGGGAAAAAGTTGCTAGCTTATAATATAGTAAATCATAAGCTAATTCCTCTGATGAATTAAATAAGCTAAATCCAACAGTGTATTAAAAAAAATAACATATCATGACTAAGTTGGGTTTATCCCAAGAGGGAGAGAATGGTTTCATATAAGAAACTCTATTAATGTTATTCCTCAATTAATGAAGTAAAGGAGAAAAATCACACAGTCATTTCAATAAAGGCATTATAATTCCTTAATAAAGTTCAACATGATTCAAAAAAATTATTACAAGGACACTTCCTTAACTTCATAAAGTCTGTCTACAAAAAATGTATAGAAAATAAGAATGAAACCCTTTATGTATTCTTGAAGGATCAGGAAAAAGACAAAGATGCCCAAATCACTGCTATTGTTCAACATCTTTGTATAGATCTGGAGTAGATGAACAAAGATCAACACCCAAGCTGAAAGAAAGGCTCAATGTGAAAAGATCTTTAAAACAAATTACAGCAGTTTAAAAAGAAAGAGGCTACTCTGGGAATGTGTTAACCATCTATACTTGGAAATGGTCAAGAATCTGCATGACCAACTGGAAGTCACAGAGCGAATTCTTGCAACAGAAGTCTGGACCAAATGAACAATAAAATCATTTTCAATTTTGAGATTCTGATTTTTATGTAATCTACTTGGGAAGTCAAGACAATATTGATCTTATATCAAAATATTTATTTTTAGGCCGGGCGCTGTGGCTCACGCCTGTAATCCTAGCTCTTGGGAGGCTGAGGCGGGCGGATTGCTCAAGGTCAGGAGTTCAAAACCAGCCTGAGCAAGAGCGAGACCCCGTCTCTACTATAAACAGAAAGAAATTAATTGGCCAACTGATATATATATATATATATAAAAAAATTAGCCGGGCATAGTGGCACATGCCTGTAGTCCCAGCTACTCGGGAGGCTGAGGCAGAAGGATCACTCGAGCCCAGGAGTTTGAGGTTGCTGTGAGCTAGGCTGACGCCACGGCACTCACTCTAGCCTGGACAACAAAGTGAGTCTCTGTCTCAAAAAAAAAAAAAAAAAATCTTTATTTTTATAAGAATTTGATGAATATAGGCATTATTTTCTATTAATATAAACTTCAAGACAGTTGGTGAGAAATTTGAGACAATATCCACTGTGCCTTCTTTAAACACTGCTTTTACTGGGGAAGGAAATCAAAGTGTACTTTTTCTTCCTCTTTTTGAACTCTGATGACATTGTGATTTTAACCTGATATCCCTCCACATGTTTCTAAATGGCATCCTCATAGAGTGATCCACTGTTATTAAAACAACCTGACTGAAAAGATTTCTTCTATCTCCATTGAAGTAGCAGTACAAGTACATTCTTGCAATTATCCTAAAACATAGATTAAGGAATAATTCTTTGGAAACTAGCTTGAACTCCCCAAATTAAAAAATGCAAGGGAAGTGTAGTTACAGATGAAAATCTATTCCTACTCTGGCACTGTGGTATAGTAAAAAGAGCATGATGATGACCTTTATAGTCAGAGTGACATGGATTAGAATCCTGAATCAGCCACTAGCATTCGTGATTTAGGATGAGCCTCAATTTACCTAGAGAAAGGAAGATGATACTTACCCTGTAGTTTATTGTGAAAAAGAGAAACTGTGTGTATCTATATACACACACACATACACAAACACATGCACAGCACTTAGTATAGGGGCCAGCTTACCCTAGGCATTCAAATTGTTCCTCTCACTTCCACAATTATGCTGACTGGTCTTACCTTAAAATGATAATTACAGATCTTAAACGGGCAACACTTCACTTTCCCTTTCCCAAAAGCCTAGTTTATACCTTTCCCCTTTTCTTCTAGCCTTCTAATCTCCGCATAATGATACTGCCTTATAAATTATAAAGAAAACAGAAGCACACAGGAAAATCCCTCATCCTATACCATTAAAACTACCCTCATCTATGTAAGTCCTTTCTGCCTTCCCTCAAGGAAAGCTGTATCCCTGCTCCTGTCTATAATGAATCCTTCCATTGTGCTTTGGGTTCTATCCATTCTCACCTTCTCAAGAACTTCATTCCTTTAATAATCTCCTTCACTATACTGTATCACCCATTCCGTCCTCTCAGTTGGACTGTTCCTATCAATAACACACGTTCTAGAAATATGATGTGCAAAACAAAAGTCACTAGATATATGTGACTATTTAAATAAAAATTAATTTAAAAAAATCAGTTACTCTAGCTACATGTGGCTTGTGAGTTCAATATTGGACAGTGCAAGCTGGGTGTGGTGGCTCATGCCTATAATTCTAGCACTTTGGGAGGCCAAGGCAGGAGAAACTCTTGAGGCCAGAAGTTCAAGACCAGCCTGGGCAACATAGCAAAACCCATCTCTACAAAAAAATTAAAAATTAGCCAGCATGCACCTGTAGTTCCTGCTACTCGGGAGGCTGAGGTGGGAGGATTGCTTGAGCCCAGGAGTTCAAGGTTGTACTGAGCTATGATCATGCCACTGCACTCAAGCTAAAAGTACACTCCAAAAAAAAATGGACAGTGTAGATTATAGGACATTTCCATATTGGGAAAGTTCTATGCAATTATACTGCTTTAAAATATCTTATTTTAGAAGCAAATACCTTCTCTTCTGATACTATATCCAAAAAATATCCTCTCTCCTGATACAACATCCATATCCAGGCTATCAACTCACTTCTCTGCTCCCTTTAACATTTCTTAAAAGAGTTGTCTGTAGCCACTGTCTCTACTTCCCCAATTTACTTTCTCCTTAATCCATTCAAATCATGCTCTCCTTTCCAACATGCCAATGAAACTGCTCTTATCAAGGTCATTAATGATGTTCACGATGCCAATCAATGATCACTTTTCTATTCCTACCTTGCTTGACACCACAGAAGTATTTGGCAGGCACAGTTGATTACTTCTTCCTTCCTCAACTCTGTGATCCTATACTTTTCTGGTTTTCCAGCTCTCTTACTAACCATTTGCTTTCCCACCTGTGCTCTAAATCCTGAGTTGAAATCAGAGCTAAGAGAATAGAACTATAATCTCTCCAGAGGTAATCTCATACAATATTAATGTTTTTAGATGCTATTCATATATTGATGACTCAAAACTCTTTCTAGCTCTATTCTGTCCCCAAAACTCCAGATCTGCATATCCAACTACTTAAGTAACATTTCCCCTAGAAATATAATAGGCATTTCAATTTTTACATATCTAGGATAGAACTCTTCATTTGGGGGAATGTTCTGTCCTCAAACCTATACCAACTCAGCCTCAATCTTAACAAGTAGCATTACCATCTACCAAATTGTGAACCAACACTTTACTCTCCTCTGCTAATATAATCCACCTCCAAAAACATATCCAAAGTATATATTTGTCTCCATCTTCACTGCTACAACTTTAGTCTAAGCCATCATTTTTTTTTTCACTTAGGTAACAATAGCCTCATAACTGATTTTCTTTGTTTTCACTCTCCATAGAATTTGTGCTCTACACAGCAAACAGAATAATCTTTTTAAAACATATGATTTATGACACTTCTGTTGCCTACAAGGTTTCCAATGCTTCCCATTGAATTAGAATTAAATCTTAGCCTATTAGTATGGCCAAAACCCTTATATGATCTGGTTCCTTCCATTTTCGCCAGCCTTTCAAGCTACTCTTCCCTTTATTTATTATGCTTCGGCCATAATGGCCTTTTTCTCTGTTCTCCAAAAACACTAAATTAGTTCCAGCCACAGCACTTTCGCATCAGCATTTTCCTTGCCTGGAACATTCTTCTCCAGGATTTTCATATGGTTAGCTTCTTCTTGTCATCAAGGTTTCAATGTCCTTGAATATAACTTTCTCAGTGAATCTCTTGTTGCCATCCATGCCTATCACATCACCTTATTTTATTTCTATATAGTAATTATCACTGATATTTTCTTATTTATTCATTTACTGTTTACTGTCTGTGTTTCCCCACTAGACTATAAGCCCCATGAGAACAGAGACACTGCCTGTCTTGCTTACCATTATATCGCCAGTACCTTAGAAGAGTGTCTGGCACAGAGTGGGAGCTAAAAAATATGTCATATAAATGCTTATATCATCTGCTATCCATATTCTATATTTTAAAAGAACTGCTCAATTTCTAGACGAGGACAATTTCTACCACATTTTCTTTCATAAAGTATACAGTATTTTCCAATGATTTTATTCTGGTTTGTATAAATGGCTTTTATGGTTAGCATTCAATCTTGGAAAAAATATTCAACTATATACACATGCTACCCATATTTGTAAAAGCTGAAAACCCTAACAGTTTGGAAACAATATAAAATTCAATAGTTTGGAAGCTTTGAAACTTACCCTCTGATAGCACTGAGGCAGAGTATTTTCCAACAGAGGAGGAGTTCTCTGCATTAATATTCCAACAGACTCTCTTAAAAGAGGAATAACACTAAGGAAAAGGAAGACAACAAGTTTATTGAAACCACATTCTGATAATCCCATCCTGTAAGAAAGTAATACTAGATCTCTCTATAGTAGAATATAAGATTCATCAGAATGAGAAAAAAGGATAATTGTTTCAAATTTTCCATGTGATCAGTAAGTTATCTAATGTAAAAGTTAAAAAAACTAGAGAAAATGTATCAATGTATGAAAGGCTAAAGTTAATAAAACTGAATAATACTGGATCATCTAAAAATCTAAATACAGTACATGTTCAACTATTATTTAAAATATGATTCTATATGGTAGAAACCTTCCAAGTAATCATAGACTATCATGCTGACTGGCCTTTAATATTTGCCAAATATGTAATGCATTTATCTGAATCGTACTGATAAGCAAAATACAAAAAAAATTAATATATCAGTCCATTCATCTAATATTTCTGAAACCTGGTTAAGAGTCATATTTCCTTATATAAAAATTATAGAATCCTGGCTATAATCACAGATGTAGTCAACTCAACACCTCTAAAACGTCTATAGGTGTTGATGTAGCTAGTCCTCAACCACTATTTGAAACTACTGCTTTAGGCTATTTGGATGATTAAATGTACACAAAATAATTTATCATGTAACTGCAAGGGTGATTCCAATGCAATGGCTTTCTAACCTAGCTACACATCAAATTCACCTTAGAGTTTTATTTTGCTTTCATTTCTTAGATAATGAAGCAGAATCTTTGAGGAAATGTTCAGGCATCTATGTTTTTAAAAAGCTCTCCTAGTGATTCCAGTGAGTCAGCGTGGTAATGCATTATTCTACTGCTTGAAGTAGATTAAGAGAAGAGGTCTGAAATAGCTTCATTATACTTAATAGCTTAAACCAAGGCTCACTTTAAAACTTATAGAATCTCAACATTTTCACAGTAAAACTTCTCCTGATAATAACTGTAGATGCAGAGAAGAGGAACATATACACCTTTCAAGGAAGGTCTCACAGGAAGAGTAGAAGTGGAAGTGTACCTTAAGGATTGGTGGTATTTCTGACATACGGGAAGGAAAGAGAAAATACTAATAAAGACACAAGGAAACAGAGGCAATGCTTGTCTTGCTCACTATTATATTCCCAAGGAGGTCTAATAAAGTGTTGCTCATAAAGTGGGCCCATGATAATTGCTGGTTGAATAAATGATAGATATACAGATATCAGGTATTTTAGAATATGTCTTAAAGAAAGGAAAAGGGCCCCGGAAAGAGATCAGGAGACTTTTTCCACACATTAAGTGAAAAATAACTGGTATCTAACTGGATACAGTGAAAGACATGATGAGAGCAATGTTAAGGACAAACCTAGACTACTAAAAGTGTGGAGAGGATGACTTTGGCTCTAGTCTCAGGCAGCTGCAATGAGGGCTTCCAATGACCCCTGTCTACCTTGTATCATGCCCTTGTGTAATGCCCTCCCTTCAGTGTGGGTGGGTGGGGGAACCTAGTGGCTTGCTGCTAATTAATAGAGTATGGCAAAAGTAACAAGATGTCACTGACACAATTGGGTGAAAAGACTTTCGCTTCTGTCTTGTATACCTTCTTCTTTTGCCCTCACTTTCTTTCTTTTTTTTTTTGTTTTTCTTGAGACAGAGTCTCGCTTTGTTGTCCAGGCTAGAGTGAGTGCCATGGTGTCAGCCTAGCTCACAGCAACCTCAAACTCCTGGGCTCAAGCGATCCTCCTGCCTCAGCCTCCCGAGTTAGCTGGGACTACAGGCATGTGCCACCATGCCCGGCTCATTTTTTTCTATGTATATTAGTTGGCCAATTAATTTCTTTCTATTTATAGTAGAGACGGGGTCTTGCACTTGCTCGGGCTGATTTTGAACTCCTGACCTCAAGCAATCCGCCCACCTGGGTCTCCCAGAGTGCTAGGATTACAGGCGTGAGCCACCATGCCCAGCCCTCACTTGCTTTCTCATTGCTGCTGTGTTATGGGCTGTACTACAGAGAGGCACAGGTGGCAAGAAACCGAGAGATCCCTCTAGAAAGAAACTAGACCCTCAGTCCAGCCCAAAAGGAACATAATACTGTCAATAACCACTTGAGAAACAAAGTCTCCCCGAAATGAGCGTTGGAATGACTGTAGCCCTGCCTGACACTTTGATTACTGCCTTGTGCAAAATCCTGAGCCAGAGAGTCCAATTAGCCTCTCCCAGGTTCCTGAACCACAGAAAGTATTAGATAATAATGTATGCTATTTTAGCTACTAGGATTTTGTGTAATTTGTTATGTATTCATAGATAATACACCATTTTTATAGAGCCATTAGACTAATCTATATAAAGTAAGTATGTTATTCTATCTCCTTCCACACTAAAAAAGGTGCCAAAAGTTTCCCACTGCCTAGGGGAGAAGTCTAAGCTCTTTAACATGGTATATCTTTGGATCTGTCCCCCTCTAGCTTCACCTCCTATCAATCCTTCCTCACATTTTAAGCTCTTCAAACATAAATATACTTGTACTTACTGTATGCTGTTTCTTACTTTCATGCTTTGGCTCATGCTATAACCTATGCCTAGTATGTCCCTAGACCGCCCTTCAGTCTGGCTTATATTCCTTCTTTAAAATCTAAAGTGTTAACCACTTTAGGGTATGTTTCCTGACCCCAAACTGTCCTCCATACTATATGAAATGTCCTCCTGAGCTCCTATAAAATGCTGTGATACCTATGGCATTATTACCTTACATGACAATTAGCAGCTTGTGTTTCCCTCTCTCTCTAAACTGAAAGCTGCTTTAAGGTAGGGGTTGTGTCTTATTTGTGTTTGTGTCCCTAGCATCTCAAACAGTGTTTGGCAAATAAATGTTTATGGAACAGAATTCAGAGTGGAATCCATTAAACATAATTAATTAATTCATCCAAAAAGTATATTTAAGGCCAGGGATCAATACTAAATCTTGCAGAATGTATGAGGTTTTTAACAGTTGGGAAAAAGCACTACTAAAGACAATAAAGGTATAGTAACCAAAGCATCAGGGAAAAAAGGAAACCTAGTTCCAGCAGCAGTAAATGTCTAAATGAAGAAAGAAAATACAAACAGAAAAAGGCCATTAGATTAAACAATAAAAATAATGTTAAGAGCCTCCCACTGGACAATTTCAGGAGGAGTAAAAGCCAGCTTGGAGAAGGTTAAAAGAAAAAAAAGTGGATGGACAACCACTGGAAGTAGAGTTAAGGATTTTGAATAGTGAAAAATATTGGTTATTCATTCATCTAAACCAGGGGTCCCCAAACTTTTTAAACCAGGGGCCAGTTCACTGTCCCTCAGACCATTGGAAGGCCAGACTATAGTTAAAAAAAACTATGAACAAATTCCTGTGCACACTACACATATCTTATTTTGAAGTAAAAAAACAAATGGGCAAAAACACCCGCACGTGGCCCGGGGGCTGTAGTTTGAGGACGCCTGAAACTGAAGCATGGTATCTGGTTCTATCTTATTAAATAGGTAAAGACTCCCTGGCTTTACAAAAAAAGCAAAGAAAAACATGACGGTAGACTAAAAAGGTACAATTCAGTCATTATGACATTTTTCTTTACTCTCTCCATCCCTACTTCTCAGGAAAAAGAAAGGATCTGTCACAGAATTTTTTTACACACAGAGCTTAGAATTTTTATGCTTTCCTACTTTCCTTACTATACTTCCTGGAAAATGAAGCACAAAAATGATTCTCCTTGAAATATTTGTTTGAGAATAAGAGACAAGGTCTTTTTCCTAACTATGTGCCTCCCAAATTTAGGTATTTTGCTAATTTCTTCTTCAATCTTATCCTAAGGAACTGCTAATTATGTCTAAATATGTGAGGTGGAAATCACACTCAAATGAAAACCATGACACCTAGGTTCTAATTCTGTCATTAAATAGCTTTGGGAAAATCACATAACCTTCCTTCCTGAGTGTCCGATTTCTCATCTATTAAATAAACCCAGGCAATTTCTTCTATCTTTAATATATTTTCATTCAATAATAAAACATGGTTAAACTATAAGGAATACTAGAGGGAGAATACATTTGGAAATGAAAGAAAATGTAACTTGTTTTTATATACTAAGGAAAAAAAGGCAATGTAACCAAATGACCATAAGAAGTATTTGGCAAACTGATTTATTCCATCACTAATTAGATAATCCTGAAAATTAATTTTATTAAGCAATTGCTACAAAGGAAGCAATTATTAAGCACCTATTACTATATACTTGACATTAGATTTTCTCAAACCAGGTGGGACCTTACTCTGGAGTTGTGGAAATAGAAGCCCAGAGCACCAAAGTAACTTGCCTAAGGACACAGCTAATGAGCAGGAGAGCTAGAGTAACACAGAGTAACAGACCAATTCTTTTCACTACAAGTTCAGTTTTGAAGATTTCAAGTTAATAAGCATTTATTATATGCCTACCATCTGCCAAACATGTGCCAGACCTGGAAATAAAAAGATAAATAATACACAATACCTTACTTCAAAGAAATTGATAACTGTTTTTAAAAGCCTATAGAGGGGGCCGGGCGCTGTGGCTCACGCCTGTAATCCTAGCTCTTGGGAGGCCGAGGCGGGCGGATTGCTCAAGGTCAGGAGTTCAAAACCAGCCTGAGCAAGAGCGAGACCCCGTCTCTACTATAAATAGAAAGAAATTAATTGGCCAACTAATATATATATAAAAAATTAGCCGGGCATGGTGGCGCATGCCTGTAGTCCCAGCTACCCGGGAGGCTGAGGCAGAAGGATCACTCGAGCCCAGGAGTTTGAGGTTGCTGTGAGCTAGGCTGATGCCACGGCACTCACTCTAGCCTGGGCAACAAAGTGAGACTCTGTCTCAAAAAAAAAAAAAGCCTATAGAGAAGGCAATGGAAATCGGGCAACAAACTTATTTAAGACCCATCATTTAGAAGAAGGCATATATGGATTTAAAACAACTATAGATTAAGCCTATATCCATTTTCACTTTCCATTAACTTTTG